AAGAATGGGCTTTAAATATCCGCCAAGTCTACAAAAGCAATGAAGTTAGATCACCATGCACTAATCAACTATAAGTTTGCTTCTCCTCTTTCCTCTCTTCCCTTCTTCCTTGTCCAACTCTGGAGGGATAAGAAACCAGGACTGACAAGACAAAGGAGGAAAAATAGAAAAGCCAGGTGAGAAGGAAAAAATATCAGTGAAGTCCCGTTTCCCCAATAAGAAGTTTTCCCCTTGTAACAGGCAAAGTTGGAGAGTGGGGGTGGGGGTAGAAGTTTGTCTTTAAATCAGGTTTGGTCTGGAGTTTTTATTATTTGTTTGTACTGGCCAATTTAATTATCAACCTGAGACTATTTAAAGTTACTGAAAGATGATCTGTATTGTCTAAGGGAAACCAAAAAGTCAAGTTCATCCACAGGCAGGAGAAGAACCAGCTTCAGAGTAAACTGAAAGGATAGTGAATGAAAAATATAAAGCTGTTTTATAATTACATCTCGCAAGTCCTGCTTTGCAAACTTATCTTACATTACCAATTGCTGAAAGTCAGCATAATGGAGAGTACAGAAGTACACAAATGTGATCTTACAAAACATAGCTTGATCCAGTCAGCTTCTCAGCCTATCGGGAGATAACAATTCCAAAAATGTGTCACATGACTCAGGAATCTAATCTTAATTCTCAAAAATTGGCACAAGTGACTTAAATATGATAGAATTCCTTTAAGAGGCAGAGATTGTGTCTTGCTCCCTGTGGTATCTCTAACACTTAGTAAAGTACCCCATACATAAAAGGTGCTTAAAGAACTGCTGTTCTCCTTATGAGAGGGCTGCTACGTTAGGCTCTTAGGAAACAGAATCTGAACAAGTATGTCTACTTTTTAGTTAGTTAAAAATATATTGAACCTTGTTGTTGTGTGTGGTCAAGTCTATTTCAACTCATAACTACAAGACAAAGTAGAACTGCCCCATAGGGTTTCTTAAGCTGTAATCTTTACTGGAGCAGATAGCCAGGTCTTTTCTCTCCTGGAGCAGCTGGTGTGTTCAAACCACTGACCTATTGGTTAGCAGCAAAGCGTTAACCATTGTACCACCAGGGCTCCATACTGAGCCTTCAAAACCAAAAACCAAACACAGTGCTGTCAAGTCGATTCCGATTCATACCGACCCTAAAGGACAGAGTCGAACTGCCTCATAGGGTTTCCAAGGCTGTAAATCTTTATGGAAGCAGACTGCCACGTCTTTCTCCCACAGAACAGCTGGTGGGTTCGAACTGCCAACCTTCGGGTTAGCAGCCAAGTGCTTAATCACTGCGCCACCAGGGCTCCTGTACTGAGCCTTACTATGTGCAAACTTACAGATTACTTTCATGCTTATCTCTTTGTAGCTAGTCAAATCTCGGAAAAATGCATAATATATTTTCAGTACTGTTATTACAATGAAGAATAAATGTGAAAGCTTTAAACTTTGATATTCAACATAGAAGAAAAATTACTATACACATTTTTAATAAGCTTTACAGGATACCCTCAAAAGAAATGCCATATAATGCTACTAAATGCAGAATGGTTTATTTTAAAAGGAGAGCATTTTTTAAATAGATTATTCAGTATTTCCTGGCATATAATGTTTCTTTTCAGTTAACAGCTCCACTTATTAAGAACCTACTATGTGCCTTATTAAGGAGCCCTAGTAGTGCAGTGATTAAGCCCTCAGCTGCTAACCAAAAGCTCGGTGGTTCGAACCTACCAGCTGTTCCATAGGAGAAAGATCTGGCAGTCTGCTTCTGTAGCAATTACAGCCTTGGAAACCCTATGGAGCAGTTCTACTCTGCCCCATAGGGTCACTATGAGTCCAAACAGACTCGAAGGCAACAGTTTTTTGGGTTTTTTTTTTTTTTTTTATGTGCCACTACAACCCTCCAAGTTACATATCATTATCCCCATTTTAAAGATTAGAAAACTGAGGCTCTTAGGTTAGTGACTTGTTCAAGGTCACACTACTAGTAAGTGGTGGAGCTCAAGTTTAAACTCAAGACAATGTGTTAGATTCCCAAAGCATATTCTTAATTATATTGTTAACTACAGTGCTGCCAGGAGTTGAGTTCTACTGAATTATCTCCAAAAGAGAAATAAGACCCTATTTTAATGCCTAACTTTATAATGTCTAATTTTAAAATATAAGCTATTATCAAGTTCCAACCCATAGTTCTATTAGCATACCTCTGTTGATGTGAATTTATTAAATAGCTCTTCATGGGTAAAATATTCTATGTAACAGATATTGTAAAGCTTCTAACAACCAATACATTACTTATGATGCCACTCTTACCATATAGTATTTACAATAAATGTATGTGACTGTAAAATTTGAGTTTCCAAAATGGTGCATAAAGGAAGCAGTTTGTATTGTATGTTTTCAGGAACTAAAGGGTATTGGCCACAACAAAGTCCTGATTATCAGACTGTTTCATTCTCAGGCTTTATCTTAGTAATACAGGCAAGAAATAGGGGTGGGAGAAACCCTAGATATTTCAGTAGAAGTCAGTGGTTCTCAACATAGGATGATTTTGTCCCCCAGGGAACATCTGGTATTGTCACCACTGTGTGTGGGGGGGATGCTACTGGCATCAGTGAGTAGCACCAGGGAGGCTGCTAAACACCATATTATACACAGGACACTCCCCAGCTCCCACAACAAAGAATTACCCAGTCAAAAATGTCAACAGCGCCAAGGTTGAGAAACCCTGGCATAAAGGATGAAATGTCTCTGGCACTTAGCAGAGGGAGTGGCTAGAGTGTTTAGAGACAGTAACTACAAACACTAAATCAGAAAGAGAGCCCAAGTAATACTCAGTATTAAGATCAGATGCAGCACTCAAGCAGTGATAAGCACACTGGCACGGGAACAGCCTCCTGTTTCATTAGATTTGAGGTGAGTAGCGTAAAGAGAGAAAGTGATAGCAACTTCTACTCAATACTCCTACCTTTGCCAGTTGTGCTGAAATTTTTGTCTGATAGAAAAACAGGAAATAGAAAAAGCATAAAAAAAATAGTTTAATGAGAAAAAGAGAAACAGCTTTTCTTAAACAGTATACAGTTCCATCACCAACATATTCAGTCTCTCTATTACTTACAGCAAGGCTATAGAGGGTTACAATCTAAAATAAGAACAAGGGATGTTGTGACACGCCATAAGAGAAACTCAGAATGAATAAATATTCATGTGCTTCATTCTGGACATCAGTATTCTGAAGACCAAATACTATTTCAGGAAGCCTGGCTTTTATCCCCTAAAGCATTTCCTTTCTCTGAATTGAAGGGACCCTCTGTCATAAGAGGAAACAGTAAAAACCAACCACGCAGCAACCTCTGAAATGGAGCTGACATAAAATAAAAACAATAACCTTCACAAAACGTTGCCTTGCTTTGCATACTTGAGATTTTTGGTTTTTTATTGTGCTTTAGGTGAAAGTTACAGCTCAAGTTAATTTCTCATTCAAAAATTTTTACACATATTGTTTTGTGACATTGGTTGCAATCCCCACAATGGGACAGTACATCCCCCTTTCCACCCCGGGTTGCCTGTGTCCCATTCATCCAGTTCCTGTTCCTTCCTACCTTCTTATCCTGCTTAGGGACAGGAGCTGTCTTGTATATTTGACTGGCGTTCCTCACGTGTGTTATTTTTTGTTTTATTGGCCTGTCTAATCTTTGTCTGAAAAGTGGGCTTTGGGAATGCTTTCAGTTCTGGGTTAGCAAAGTGTCTGGGGGCCATAGTTTCGGGGGTTCCTCCAGTCTCTGTCAGACCAGTAAGTCTGGTCTTTTTCTGTGAATTTGAATTCTGTTCTACATTTTTCTTCCACTCTGTCCAGGACTCTCTGTTGTGATTCCTGCGGGGATCGCTGGTGGTAGCTGGGCACCATGCATAATTGAGTTTTACTGTTATGGACCTGTGCCTCTTCCTTTGCTCTTCTATTTGCTCGTCACTAAAATCTTTTTACCCTTTTTTCATCCCTTTATTTACTCCCCTTTCCTTCCTTTCCTCTCTTCCAACTCTAATGTCTTACTCTCTTAAAAGTAACAACTGGTAATGCAATTATATAATGAGAATTTTAGAGCTGTAAGAGTAGGCCTTTGGAGATTATTAAGTTGTAAACCCCCACAATGCCCATCTCTCTGACACATAACCACCACTCCTAACAAGTGGTCAGCAGACTCCTCATCCCTACTCCCTTTCAGAAACTACAAATCACTTCTCAATGGGTAGTGCTAAACTGCTAGTGAGATCTAAACATACCAATGTAATTGGCCTGAATTGCTCTTGCTTCACAGATATCAACTCTTTCTCATTATCAACATTTACTAAATTAGGAAAAAAAAAAAAAAAAGCTCAGAGGTTTAGGTACGATTCTAAATTATAGTTGGCCAAATCTGCAGGTTATTTGTTCACTGAAAATTATCTTTTGATAAACTGAAACACTTAACTAAAAGCAGACGCAGTGTGATTCATCTAATAAGCCTTTGACATTTTGTCAGGATGAGGAATGACTCATTAAATCCCCCAAAACGGTCCGCAAGGTATGTTTTACCCTCCTACATTCCTCGGAAAGTTTCTTCTCCCCTTAACTACGTAACCAATAAAAGAAATTGATTAATTCAAAGGATTTCGGGTCATACTAGGTAAATACGGTAATGTACTTCACACAGCGTAGCGTAATGCCTCACGGAGCCTTAACTGATACATGCATGAAAGCCAAAGTAAAGTGATTCATTTTTATAAACGATGTAAATCCTAATTTGTTCTGTGCTGGGTGCAAGTCATATAAACCCAGCCGTGCCGTTGAGCTGTCTAGTTTTATTACCATCGCCAGCGTTCCACCTAAGTTTGAACGGTTCTAGGAGAAAGTCTCCGGCTCTTGCTTCCCCCCGAAGAGCCCCGTTTAACTCGCCCGGGGTGCAGGGCGCGTCGCCTCCCCCGGTCCCGGCCCCGCGCCGCGCCCCTTACCTTAGTGAGCTGAGCGATTTTCTTGCTCATTTTCAGGTGCAGGTCCTGGGTGTAATCCATGCAGTGCCCCGCCTGCTGCGCGGCGGCGGGCGAGGGCGCGAATTTGGTGGCTCCGGCCGCGGAGCCGCTGTAATAGTGCTGCTGCCAGCTCATACCCGGGGTCGCCATCTTCCCGACAGACCCCGGCCAGGACACCTGTCCCCGCGCTCGGGGGACGGCCCGCGGAGCAACGGCGTCTAGGGGGAAAGACCCGGGGCGGCCGCTTCCAGACCCGACAACCGGCGCCTGTCAGCTTCGGCCGCAGGCGCCTCCCGCCCGCGATCCCTCGGCCGCCCCCCTT